AAGAACTTTCCTTGTGATTATTACAAAGTAGACATGTGGTTGAAGAGAATCTATTTTTATTAAAACACACCCACATTCAATCTAGAGACATACTTTCAACATCTCAATGATTTTTTTTCTTGTATTTTCTGAAAATGTCACCACCTTTGAGACTATTTTAATATAGATGGATTATATCTCTTCCTAAAGTCCATATGGCAGATAGATACCTGGTATTTCCCAAAAGAAGGTATGAGAGGAATAGTATTCTAAAAAATTCCCGTTTTGATAGCCTTCACTTTACCTCCTTTTAAAAAAAGTGAATCTGATGCTTAAATTTTTCTCCTTTATTTTCACAAAAGAAATCATATAAAAGCCTTGCATTTTTTCTGCTCATCATTTCCAGCATTTTTCTCTTTGCACATGAACAAAAAAATGCCTGTGGATTTACACGGCCTATCTGTGTAATGGTCAGACATTTCGTGTATACTGAGCTGTTCTCTGCGGGGTGATGAGCAGTTTTTTTGGCAGTAGGAGGAAGATGAATAGCTGGTTACAGACCCAGTTCGGTTTCGTCTATAGCACTACGTATTGCAGATAATCAAAACACAAATACAATTTTATATTGGACACAGGTATTTCCGCTGATGTATCTATCCCCTGGAAGCCTAATTTACAGAGGTAGCACTGTCCAGGTATTATTCAATACACATATTTGCCCTTCAATCCTCGAATTTCTCCTATGGATATCATAACCCAATATTAACTCTATTCTACCTCCAGAGCATCCAGATGCAATGGCTCAAACTCCCAGTATGTTTCTAGTCGCAGGCTGCTACATAGCATCGTGCCTGTTCTGTGGGCCTGATGTGTACAGTGGATTGTTTTCAGGTATTGGGTGGTAGGATTAAATCAATTAGGATTACTTCCCCCACCGCTTCCTTAATTAATCAACCACTTTCCTAGCACTTATTAAGAGAGCCAGAGATTGCTAAGTGGTTTAAGAAACATGAAAGTTGTGTAAGACATGTTTCTTACTTTAAGGAGCTAATAACATCAACAGGAATAATAATGCATCGATTCTTTGAGACAGTCTCACTCTGTTGCCCAGGCTAAAGTGCTGTGGCATCAGCCTAGCTCACAGCAACCTCAAATTCCTGGGTTCAAGGGATCCTCCTGCCTTAGCCTCCAAGGAGCTGGGACTACAGATGCTGGCCATAACACCTGGCTAATTTCTAGAGACAGGGCTTTTCTCTTTCTCAGGTTGGTCTCAAACTCCTGAGCTCAAGGTATCCTCCCACCTCAGCCAAAAGAGCTAGGATTGATTGCAGGGGGAACCAGTGCGCCCGGCCCATATGGATTCTTATATATGTCTTGTATGTGTTTTAAGCAACATCATCACTGCCAGCACTGCCATCATCATCATCATCATCACACATGATGGTATCATTCATTCATTTTAATCTTTTATCAATTAATTACTTTGTATTATATATAATATCATTAGTTAATTTTTTAAAATTATCCATGCCACAGCTAGTATGTGTTAAAGCTGTCTGAAATGCTAGCTATGACAGACAACAAAAGGAACATTACTGACATGATGAAGCTTCTATTTTGGAGAACTGAGACAGACAAAATGAACAAAAAACATCTTTATGTATTATTGATAATTAAATACAACATATGACGTGTGACATACTCAAAAGTGATGATGCTCTGGGGAGAAACAAAGCTGATTCAGAGGATGAGGAGGACCTGGAATCTTACTTCAGAGGTGGTGGTCTGGCAAGGCCTCCCTGGGGAGGGCATGTTAGAGATGAGGCTTGAATGACGGGAAAGGGGATTTGTGCAAGTCTATGGGGGGAGAACATCATTCCAAGCAGCTCACTGAGTGTTAAACTTTCTTGTATATTTAATGTAAGAATTGTGTATGAGTTATTCCATTTTAATCCTTGTAACATTTAAAAATAGTTATCATTATTATTCCAGTTGTTCAGATAAAAAACAAAGAAATTGAGTCTCAGAACATTTCAGAAGCACGTCTACAACCTCAGAGCTATCAGGGAGCAGAGCTGGTGTCAAATCTGTTGGCACAGTGTATTTTAGGCATTTTTTTTTTCTAGAGAAAAGAAAAACCTATCATGTTTGCATAACTCAGGGAAGCTCTCAAGAGAAGAGATATTTGAGCAGGATGTTGAATGATTGACAGTGTCTAGAAGTGGAGGAGTATGAAAGAGATTGGATGGAGCAGAATTCAGCGTGGAGCAGGGCTGTGAAGGTTGGAGCACCAGAGGCAAATGTGAGGAAATGGTGATGAGAGCAGCATGAAGTATAGGGTTTTTTCTCAAAAGGAGATGATGCTGGTTGAGGAAACTGGAGCTTGGAAATATACAATTATATTTTAGACAGGTTGTATTTGACTCTTCAGATACTGTAGGATGTCCTAGAACTTTGGACAATATAGTGACCTAAGTAAAACCAAGCTTTAGAAATGTTACAGTGACAGGATTTAAAGTGGATGGAACAGGGAGAATTAGAGAAAGCGTTTATGAAGTCAGCAGTTCTTACACGGAGCTGTGTAGATACCATGAGTATCAATGAGTCATTTTAGAAGAGCCACACATTCTCACCACGTTATGAACAGAAAACTATTTCTGGGCTAGATTTTATATGGTTCTATCAAAAACTGAGGTGCACAGTCAGAAGTC